AAAATAAATAGTAATAAATATTTATCATAAATATTCTGTGCTTTCTGGGTACTAATTTGAAAAATTATTTCATTGCGTAATTTAAATAACTATATAAATTCATATATAATTATACATAAATAGATACATAAATTCACATATAATTATATATTTATATATATATATATATATATAAGCGCTTAAAATGCAGCTTGAACGTTAATTTCTATTTATTTTCTTTCTTGTTGTGTGTTTACATGTACAATTTTAGAATCTCCTTATATATCATTGCAGGATTTATTAAACGAATCACAAAAATCGCTCTCAGATTCAAACAACAGTGCGGAATTAAGATTCGAACTTGAAAAATTAAACTTAACAGACGTTGAATCTTCTCAAGGAGATCATGCAAAAAACGTGCTTGCATTCCCACAGCAGTCCCATAGTTCGAAACAGTCCCAAACAGACTCAGAAAATCAGATATCTTTCAAAACATTTTCAATTAATCAGTCTATTGAAATGATAGATCTAATCCAAATTTTTAATCAAATACAACTTTTACATCACAATTATGATGTATTAGTACAACGCTTGGAGACGTTAGAAGAATTATTTAAGAAGAATGTTAGAAAAGCTCCTTCAGCTTTTGATCATTAATCACTTTGAATAATATATATACAGAGCTGAACATGTATCTGAAATATTTTTATTTAAAACGCGATTTTTGCACTACAAGTATATTTTGTATGTTGTACTTAAAATCAAAAAATTGTAAAATTTTTTACTTTGTAATTCAAATAATAACATTATCGATCTTACAAGGAAACGCAATTAACTGTCCTTCTTCGATTTTTTAATGAGCTTTTAGAAGGTTGTTTTATGAATAAAAGTAAAAGATACGTATTTTTTTTTATGCGGCTGAACCGCATGATAAAGGGATAAAAATCGGTTTTTTTCTTTCAAAGTGAATATCGTCAATACTATAAAACATAGAAAAAATTTTCCAGAATAAAAATTGAATGACTTTGACAGTACTTAGAAATATAATAAAAAATTTTTTATTAATAATTTTATTATAAATAAATAATTTAAAAAATTATTTGTATTATAGTTCTAAAATACTTTAGAAGCCATTTAATTTTTATTTTGCAAAATTTTTTTTTATTATAGCTTTTGAGATATTCACTCTAAAAGAAAAAAACCGATTATTTTCTTTTTACCCTTTAACGTGTGTGTGCGATATAAAAAAAACTCAGCTGATATAAAAAAATACTTTTGTCTATACAAAACATACTAAAAGTCCTTCTACATCTTACTATTTTCTGACTTTGTAGTGTAAATCAAACCATTTTGCGGTCACATTACACGAAATTGTTTCTGATCCATTTTTCACAAATATCACAGTACTTGATTGATTCAAATAAACGCTAAATACAGAATAATAAATTTATATCACTGATGATATATTATTCTCCATGAGTTACCGAATTTAAAAATAATTTCGTATTAGTAGTACTATTTTAGACTTGCATTTTAGACTTATCGAATGACCCATGTACATATTTACTTTCACACACCATCTTTTATTATTAATACTGAAACACAAAATATTTAACATGTATAATACAAAATACAATTGTTATAAATAATGTTTTTTTAAATAAAAATATTTTAAATACATGTCCAACCCTGTATATGCGTATATTGACAATTGTTTACATAATTGTTCAAGCAAAATTTTAATTAAATAATTTTTTAATGCGTATATATATTACAAAAATTAAATCAATCAATTGTATGTTTGATTATAAAATAAATTAATTATAAATTATGAGATTATGTAGATTATAGCGCGCGCGCGTAAACTAATTCAACCCTATGCGCCACACTTCATAATCCTCTATCCTCTTCTTTTTTCTGTTTTGGAAAAGTATCGCATACGAAAAACTAGAAAAATATATTTTTCAAAAATAGAGCTCCTTATCTTTGCTTACCTTTGAAAAGAAGAGATAGAAGGATGAAAGGGAGAGAAGAGAAGCACAGAGGAGAAACAAGAAAAAGAGGGTGCGAAAAAATTCGATGCGCAATTAAAAATCTACAAACTTAGTATATAAAATTCACACGTAATTATATATCTAGCTTGACTGTTATGGTATGTTCTCTCATCGATATTCATTGATTATAACTTCATCTTTTAGGCATTTAAAGTAAAATTTAATTAAAGTAAATATAAAACTAATAATATAAGAAATTGTTATTTTATATTAGATCCTGCTAAATATATAAAGTTTCATCCAACTCGTATAATTATTGAATCTGCAAACGTGGATTATATGATTTAAGAACGGATTCTTTTTATCAGCATTATCTTGTTAATACAGCACCTATAAATATGGTCAAATTCTATCCAAATGGAAACTTCATGTTAACAGCTTCTGACGATTCTACAATAAAGTTTAAGACTTTGATTTGAAATAGCAGCTTCAATAAGTTATTACTATTTTTTATTATAACAAGAAATCTCTCTCTCTCCCCCTCTCCCTCTCTCCCCCTCTCTCTCCCCCTCTCCCTCTCTCTCTCTCTCTCTACATTCCACAGTTAAGGTCCAATAAACATGAAATTGGCGATGGAACAATTGAACAGCAATGAAGAGAATACACATGTCAAGGGGGATTTAGTAAATCTGTATAAATGTAATAACTTCATATATAAATACGCTCTATTAAATTAGATAAAGTAACAGTTGCATTTTATTAAAATAAAATAAATAAATAAATAATGTACTGTTAATTCACATCAACTATTAATCATATAACATATATCATTTCGATATTTGTCAGATAAATTAAAAAAGTCACATCTAAAACAATCAGACAACAGTAGAAGAGAATCAATGAACAGTAGAGAAACATCAGCGAAAACCATCGACTCTAAAGTGATCAACATAAAGAACATGAAATATTTTTTCAATTAGATTATGTAGAAAATATACTCACAGCAGTCTCGTAACAGTCCCAAACAATTCTACAAAATCAAACACCTTCCAATGTATTTTTATCCAATCAAGCCATTAAAACAGTAGAAGATAAAATTTTAGATAAAATACAATTGTTACGTTACTATTATAATGTATTATAATATTACAACAGCGCTTGATGATAGAAAAAATGTTTTAAAAACTAGATTTGTAGCATCTTTGGTTTATAATAGTTAATCACTTGGAATAACATATATGAGAGAATATTAACAAATCATTAATATTTTAAGTAACTGAAGTTTCGATGCTCTATATTATAGATATGGAAAACGTAGCGTATTTCGTTGTGTTATAAAATAAATTCAAAAAACATTGTAATACACAAATTATTTAAGATACGTAATAGAAGATATTTTGTTATATATGATTTTAAGTATATTATTTTTGTATCTTTTTTGTGCATATGTATACGAGAATAAAAATGATTTTTTGTAAAAAATATATGTACAATATAAATAATTTCTGTATTGATATATGCCTATACATTTTTAAAAAATATACTGTCGGTCATATAAATTATTTTCTATAATGAATCTTTTAAGTTCTTGATATTATTTTGAAATTTGCTAATCATTTCTAGTCTTATCCGAACCAAATAAAGTATACGAGTATTTCATTTCTTAATAGATCTATTCCGATGTAAGAAATATTTACATACAATATTAAATAATATAACTACTTTGTGTGAACATATATAGATCGTAATATATATATTCTTCTTTTTACTAAAATTATAGAGAAAAGAGAGCTATATCATTATAATTATCTATAAATACCATCCGACATTAGATGATCTAGAATATTAAGCAACTCATGTTTATATGACCATATGTTATCTGAACATTTAAAATGACTTTTTTGATAGAAAAAAATTAATTGACACACATTATGTGAAATTATGTAACACACATTATTATTAGTGCAATTATATGAGTATATTTACAAAAATAAATATATAAAAATATCGATCTGTTATAAAATATTGATTAATTTTTTATAGCAATTAATTTTTTAATAGTATTTCAGAAAAAATAATATAAAGATTCATTTGAATATATGGTATTTGCAAAATTGAAATAATATTTCGAGGTTTTATGTTATATGAGAAACTTAGCTTATCTCATGTTACATTATATATAGTAAATTAAAAGAATATAATTTGTGTGTGTGTAATAGTATTTCAGAATTATATATAAGCTGCTTAATATAAGACATTTTCTTATACACGATTTTAGATACATTTTTGTATTTTGTATGTATGTATATATGTATATTTATAAAAATAAGTAATTTAACTGTGATTTTCTTTTTTTATAGAATAAAGTGCTATAAGAATACACATCATAATGTATGCCTGATATATTTAACAGCACCTGTTACAATCACATCACATAGATCATTCATGTCCCTTAATGAGTTCTTAAAAACTGACAAGTTTTTCCTGTTTTCTTGAGCGTTTCTAAAATCTCGTTTGAATCAAGCGCAGTGGTCACAGATACCTTCTTCTCTGGTAAATCTATCTTGATGTCATCGATACCTACATATCATATAGTAAAATAATGAGTTAGAGATTTGAACATAATTATTCTAAATTTTGCATATAAGTATCCCAGTCGACACCAACTAAAAGTATCAATATTACATATAATTTTTTTGCATTCAACAATAAAAATAAAATATAACACATTGAATGTGAAATTATATAACACTAATGTGTTATCTGCTTTAGTTTGTATCAACTGCAATGTATATTTTTTTTTCTAAAAAATTACAGCTGCCACTTCTTATATTTAATACTTCCACTTCTCTATAATGTAGTACATCTAACCTCATTTTATTCATTTCGTTATCCATTAATTTGACCAAAAATAATGTCTTCAAAGAGTACCGATAAGATATAATAATTTGCGAAATATGCCGTACACGCAAAAATACTTTTGTATCCGCAAAATTGACTATAAATGTTTTCAAGTACCTGCTTTTTTCCTGAGCACGTTCTGCACAGCCGTCGAGCATCCTTCGCATGTCATTTCGACGTTGAATTCATGTACCTTATGAAAAAATTATTCGTCAAATATTGTCTAAACATTTGTTTAAAGTTATTTGAATTTTTACGAGATTAGAATATCATTTTATTATTACCTGAGCTGCCATAATAACAATACGTCTCCGAAGAGTCTGTAGGTTCGAGATTTAACGCAATTTAACGTTCAAACGGATTATTGCCAAATCAGGCGACGAAATAGGATCGTATTAAAACCGTGAATACGACAGAAATCTTATCTGTAGTGTAGCTTCTTCGTAAAAGATAACGTACATCAATCGTGTGCTGGAGCAATGCTGAGTGCTGACCATTTCTGACTTCCAAGTAACTATGTACACTATATATATATATATATATATATATATGTGTTTATCGAACCAATTGTAGATTTTCATGCCCGATAAAAACAATTCTTAAAATATCTAAAAAAAGAACATTCGATTTAAAAGTTAATACATTTAGTGCAAAAATATATTATAGTGTTAATTTTGTATATACAATCATTGTTTAAAAAATTTTCATCATTTCATGATTTTTCACGGAGAATTCGTTTTTGTTGACATTCCGAATTTTTATGCATTAAGGAATTAACTTTAATCTCGCTTTAACTTTTGTTGTTTTCATTTCTTTAATTTTTAGAATCAAAAATGTTTCCTTTTTTACAAATTTATTTTTCAAGTTTTACTTAAAATTAGAATAAAAATTGTAGATGAGAACAGTTTAAAAATTAAACTTTTCTAATTTTAAATAAAAAAATTTGTGAAAATATTTCTAAGCTATTTCTAATAACGTAAATATTCTTATAAAGATTGAATAAAATCAATGACTATAAAAGAGTATCATCTTCCTAATAATTCTCTAATAAATAAGTGATATAAACAAAATATTTTGTACAATATTTGCTGATAATTAAAAGTAATATTAGAGAACTTTCAGGGAATTCAGTTTTTATTTTCATCCTTGCATCTTGACATAAGGTAGAAAAGTATTACGATTGAATGCCTAATTGTCAAACTCTGTATATGTACTTCAGGACTGTCTGTTCAACTGCGGCTACGCGAGGAACAAGCTTACATCCTACTTACAGCATGATTTTGCGAGCATTTCAGCTAAAGGATGAACTTGTGATACAGAATTTTTTTCCAGATCGACTATAATTTTCCTACGTTTTTTATTTCTCTTCCTGTTTTGTGAGACCGTAATGGAAATGCTTTCCTACAATTTTCGATGGCGAATAGCGGGTGAAATGTACAAATGTCTGATAAATTTGTCCTTGTTACCTCTATGCTTCTCATAAATAAAAACATAGACTGGCACGGACGGCGACGGGATTTGTTGGATGCCTTGTGCGAATGAGAGATCTTATCACAGTAATCAGTTCGGTTCATACTGAGAATACCTGCATTGCTCGTTTCACATATTCCGTCGATCATAGCTCTCTATCATACGTGTATCACTCATCCATACATTTGTCTATAGTCTAATTTTGCACATTCAGTCATATTGCTCTATGATGTTAGTGATAATCCTTAGTCGTTACACAATTTGTCAATACACTTCTCGATACGTTTATCGAATACGGTTTCAGCAGGGATATATGTATGGGGCCATACTTACTGTAGCACGAAATGTTTTGCCCTTTTCATTCATCCTGGATGATAACATAGTTGAATTCTTCTTTCTCTCCTTTTTTCTTGTTATTCGCCCATTAAGTGAAGAAATTTATACACTGATTTTTACACTGACGAGGATTGGGGTAATTTATAAATAACGCAGCTTGTTTTATGCTTATCGATGATTATAGGGCATATCTGTTACATTTATTCGCCTTACGAAGCATCGGGATTAGTGACAATGAAGCTGAAATGCAATTTTGTATAACAAATTGTATTCATGACAAGAGAAGCAGGGATTTAATAATAATTTAGCTTTAGCTTTGGCGCACTTGTCAAATCTTCGGAATAATTCGAAGACACAAATAGGGATTGCAATATACTGGCAGTCCATAATTCAAGATTTTGGAGACTATCATTCCCCAATTATACACATACGTTTTTACGCACAATGTTACGTGTAATTAAGCGGTGTAACGAGACTCGGGATCTTTCATTAAAATATATCCGTTCTCTCAATAAAAATATACGAGGAGACTATTAATTCGGTCTCGATGAAAAGACGTCTCACAGATGCATGCAAACCTGCGAAAGGGAGCTCCATGGAATGCTGCAGCATTAGGAGTGGGAATAATTTGAGCACGTTATGAAATGACCATTGCTAACTGAGACTCGTTTTGTTGGTAGTCTATTCTATTTCTTAATATTCGATGTAAATGCGATGCAAACGCGTTGCTAATAAATCATAAAATAATATATAATGTCGAATGCTGTACGCAAGAGTCAATGATTGGAAGATATCAAAAGAAAAATGCAATTCTTTTGTACTAGCAAAGAGATACGCTTTGTCGTAAAATAGTGGTTTATGGCGCGACGCAATTCTGGAGATAAAAACTGCGATTACTTCATCATATCGTTCACATTCAGTCCGTCGGACTGACTGGATTGTAGCCTGATGGCGGATTAGCGTGAATCCAGCGTCAGAGGAAACTGTAAGTATTCTGAACCGCTCTGCCAGTGGATGAAGACGAGCCCTGTTGTTCCACAATGGTGTTCTGTTGTTCTAGTCTCTCCAACGATTCCGTGCGAGTTCTTATAGAACCACCATAAGTGCGTACCTATTTTATTAACATGTCATTAAGCACTCGTATATACTCTTAATCTTGCTATCTTATCAAAAGTTTCTCTTAAAGTTTCTGGATTTTAGAAATAATAAAATGTACACATGTCAATATTAGAAAAAGGCTTGTCAATATTTCAGAAAATCAAGTCACAATACGAAAGAAAATGATACTAACAGATTTGTTTTATTGATGTGAAGGATATACGCATCACTGGCAAATGCAAATATCCATGTCAAAATACGAAATGGATATTTTGTGTATACATTATATTTAATTTTACAATAACTAAAAAAACATAATCTAAATTTATTGATGAAATATTGACGAGAATTTTTCTAACACTTTGCAAAGATGTAAGCAATCAGGATATTTCGTCCAAAATACTCTAATATTACTCTGTCAATTTAATGTACTGTTTTTCATAGCTTCCTGATATAAATGTTGCAATTTTATTTTAAAATTATTAGAGTACTAATCAGATAATATAATTTCTGAATGCTCCTGTATTGCTTGAGGCAAAATTAAAACATAAATCTTTTATAATATGCAATATAATAAAGTAGACCAGAAATTTCAAGAAAAAGCTTACTAAAAGCGAGCTCCTTGTCCCACGGTCATATTTCTCTGAATATTTTATATCTCACACATTTATATCATTCTAAACTTTTCGTTAAAATTTCATCACACGATAATTTTGCATATTTAGGCGAATGATATACAAATTTAATCAAATCATTTATAAAAATTTATAAAATAATAAATAAATATAGGATATAAGAGTGAGTTGTGACAGAAACATGCCTTGGAGAAAATTAGAAGAAAATATGAACATAAGAAATTTTTAATAATATATATTATTTTTACTCTTTTTGGAGTACATTATTTGTTTGAACATAAATATTATATAAATTATTAAATAAATGTCGAATTTTGTCATAAAAATAACACAAATAGGGTGCATTATATTTAACTTTGTATATCAATCTATACAAATTTTCATCAAGTTTCCAGCGAGTTTACACAAATGCAGACAAATCTGTTCCGTATCATCGACCATACGATAAATATGGGCGCTTTAGCTGGTTTATCTACTCACTGTCTGTAGATTAGACTTCAGACTGTGGGTGTTGGCCACTCGCGCTCACACAAGAGGAGTTAGACTTCCACTGCAGACTCTTACTTCTCTAGGCTCCAGAGTTGCCGGAGGTCTCCTCTCTTGTGATTGTTGTACATTCAAGCTACCCGCCACTACGTTATGGTGTCCTGGTCGCGATGCATGGCTCGGCGTCACTACATACTCTGTTAAAGTAACATCCGCAGTCCCACCAGATTCGAGTGGTATTGCATTCTGGCGAAAGTGTTCAAGCATATCATATATCGTAGGAAAGCACAGATGTTGAACTCGGCAATGACCTTGATCATTTAGCGTCATTCGTAAATGCTGTAATAAAAATGAACATGCATGTATTAAAAATGGTTTAAATATCATTTATAGTAAGTGTGTTGAAAATAATAAGTTTTAGTTACTTTTGCTCTTCCTTGGAAATTAAAAGTTAACACAAATTCGCCTTTTCTAGTTTCGCTTTGCCGAACCAGGAAAACACCATGACCATTAGCTGCACTATGCAATACAAGCTGCGCGGCGTCCGAGCGAGGAAGGGTGCCATGAAACCATGGATATTCTCGTAAGCTACTCGATAAATCCAGCTCACCTTCATTAGCAGACACTGCAAGCAAACAAATATATATATTTTTTACTTATTGCACTTGCCTGATTTACTCTTGCCGTTTGCAGGATTTATTCCTTACTTTGCTCAATTTCTTGCTGAGAGGAACATAATTCTAGATTACTACTGCTGCGCACGTGGAGTCTCGGAGGTAATTCTGGCGGATTACCTTGCGAGTCATCGCCGTGTTCATGACTAGCGGATCGAAAGCTCTTACTCGCCGAGTTGGCTCGTAATCGATCACTGTCGGATCCGATAGCAAGCGAACCGTGGCCTAGGGAATCTCCTAAAGAGTCACCCGGTCCGGAACCAGGAGCGCTCGAGCTTTGTTGTACCGTTCGCATACAATATCTAATTGTCGCCAACCACGACTTCATGTCATTTGAATCGTGTGCTTCGATGACAAATTCCATATTTTGCGTCTTCAAGACGAATGTATTCTCGTGATCCGGCATTTCGAGCGCCGTGGTTTCCCTCGCTTCTGTTATCGCCGAGCAAAAGACACCGCTCCGTGGTTTCACAGCCTTCGGTGGGGAATAAAACTCCAACATGTAGCCACCGATGGCCTTTATCAAAGCTAGCCGTGACTTTTCCCATTTCTGCGTTCCATCTATATTTTCTCCCATCAAGGAATTAACAATTCCTTCCTTACGACACTCCACCACAATTTTCGACAGCTTAGCCTTGGAGTGTTTATCCTTGCGGTGTTCACTGTGAGATAATTCCACTTCATCGCTCTGTTGCTTGTGGAAGAAACTCTTGCCTTTTTTAAGTCCCTTAAAGGATAATCTGCGGAAGAAAGGTTTGTGACTGGGCTTCGGTGACACTGCCTCTCCTTCGTGTTCGGAATAGTCGCTAAATTCCTCATGTGAGGATGCTCGAACAGGCGCATTAGTGTTCTGGCTCGCAAGGTTTATATCTCTTTCATTGGATACTATGCTCCTAGTATCATGCAACGACAGCGATCTAAACAATACAAGAGCAACGTTACTATTATATGTATATATACCTTTGCCTTTAAAACTCCAAATCTCCATAATTGAAAGAAATTATAAAACAAAATATAAATAAAAAAAAATAAAATGCATTTTTATAATATACATAATAAAATAAAATTACAGATAGCATTTCGTAAGACAAAAAATATAAAAAATCCTAGATTTTCATCTTTTTCTTATACGAAATACATACAAAGTATTTCTTATTTTACATATCTTTACTGAAGTTTATAATAAATGAAAGCACATGTATATTTGCAAACTCTAACTTATTATTTTCATCATTTCTCATAAATTATTATTTTCGACAAAAGTTGTACATTTGAGTTTTCCCTTCGACCATTGAAGCGACTACTCCAATGTTTACTTCCTGACAATACGAAAGGTTAATGGTCTTCATTACGACATTCTATGTGATAGTGCAACGTAAAATCGCAGAGCGACACGCACCTCACACTCTGACGCAGGTACTCGCTCTCGAAGTGCTCGCAGAAGCTCTCGACAAACTTGCGGAGAAAGTCGCGGTGCGAAAGGTTGGCGCGGGCGCTCTCAGGCAGGTTGAGGCTAACGTAGGCGCAGAACGCCTTGGCAAAGTCGGAGGCCGAGGCGCGGGCGTGTCTCTCGCAGAACTCAATCCAGCCGGTCGCTGCTTCCGGCGACGCGGCGGTCGCCGTAGACGACGTGGCCGTCGTCGTAACCGGTGCAATCGCCGCTGTCGTCGTCGTCGTTGTCGCCGTCGCCGCCGCCGCCGCCGCCGCCGCCGTCGTCGTTGTCGTTGTTGACGTCGACGCAGTTTCCGTAGTTATCGTTGTGGTCGTCGTCGTCGTCGTTGCTGCTGGCGACGTCGTCGTCGTGATCGTCGGCTTCGTTGCCGTTGACGCCGTTGTATTAATCGCCGGTGATATCGCAGGGCTCGCTGTCGGCGTGCTCGCGGCGTAAACACTCATTACCGGCGTCTGGCTTGCGTAGGGGGCGGAAGACCTCCCCCCCTTGTGCCGCCGCCGCCGCCGCCACCACCACCGCCGTCGTCGTCGCCACCCGTCGCCCTCCACTCTCACTCACCGCCGCCGCCGCCACCGCCACTGCTCTGGGATCCCCTTACGAACGTCGCCGCCGCGCCGTTTAAGTAGGGTGGACACGAACGCGCGCGACAGACATATCACACCCCGCGCGTCACGTCGTTGATGTCGTACGCGCGCTCGCCGTAAAACTAATCACGGCGGTTGCTGAATGGTCACACAATCGAACACATATGCACACATATACTTATTGTACACATATGGCGGTTCTGAAAAAAGAAGGGGGAAGAGTCGACAGTAAAAAGAGTGCCGAGAGGATGTTGATACGACCATACGTTAATGCATGAGAGAATTGTTGTTTGATCCTTGAATAGTAGAATGAACTCAAGATGAAAAATTCGTTACATTATACTTGTACAATATATAGATACATGTATATTCCTTCTTAGTTCATTCATTGTACTTTTTTTTACGAAGAAAAGGAAAACTGATATGTATGATAGGTAAGTTGATTGTAACCGATGATAGCTGTGATAGCTAAAACTTTGGAGTAACCGGAGAGTCTTGTGGCTTTCGCGCTTTTCGTTAATTTCACTCGTCTACTTGCGACGATCTGTCTCTTTTCTAATAGTCTCTATCGTCTATCTCTCGCTAGCGGGAGTGAACGATAGTTGGCAACTTTATCGAGGTAGTGCCGATTCTTATCACGACCGTGTGTCAAAGTCAAGGACTCGCACGCGTAATACTCGCACGTTCGTACCGTCGTGCTTGTCTCACGGAAATATTTACGGGCATTATGAAGCACACGCACAAAATGCGTGACTGCGTGATACACGCGACTCACTTCCACTCATTCTATTTCTATACGGGAGCTCTCTCTTTTATTCTCTCTCTCTCTCTCTCGATTTTGTAGAGGTTAGGCAATCGCGTGGTTCGTTCTTTCCCTCATAGAAACGCGCATGTATATTTGTTTCTACATAATTTTAAATATACAGCCACAATAGAAGGAATAAGAAATTAGGAATAGGACCACTTTCACCAAGCTTCAATTAACTTAACGGGCCTAGTAAGGGGCTACGCAAAATAAAAGGAACAGAGAACAAAGAATAAGAATTTCAACCTATCAGAAAATATACTGTGGAATAAACAGTGTGTATTCCATAGTACATGATTTCTGATAGGTTGAAATTCTTATTCTCTGTTCCCTGTTCCTTTTAGGGTGCAGTCACATGGAGTCAGAAATAACGGAACGGAACATTGATAGAAAAAAGATAGAACAATCCTATCTCTTTTCTATCAATGTTCCGTTCTCATTCCGTTCCGCTATTTCTTTCTCCATCGGGACGAACCTTAAGGTTGATTTATACTGGCCGTAATCTGTTAACTTATGCCGTAATCTGTAAAAATTGACCAATCACAGTCGAATGAGAGGGGAATAATCGATTATAATTGGTCAATTTTTACAGATTACGACATAAGTTAACAGATTACGGCCAGTATAATCCAACCTTTAATTCTGCGCTCATGGCACATAGAAAAACGTAAGGCTGTAAACGTAATCAGTAAGCGAATTGACCAATCACAGTTGAGAACGTAAGCAGCCGCCGCTACGTTCTCAACTATGATTGGTCAATTCGCTTACTGATTACGTTTACGGCCTTAAGGTCATCACACGTACGAAAATTTTAGTAAGAACCAATAACGAGCATTCTGTGTTTCTAGAGAATCTTGTGATTGGTTCTACTCTCGTTCCGCGTTACGCTATTCCACTGCATGGGTTTGCACCCTTAAGCGGGGAGCACAGACTTTTGCATAACGCATAAACCATATACATAAAGAATTTGATTGGTCCATTGACTCATGCATAAGAAAATGGGGCCAATGAAATTCCTTATGCACATGCTTTATGCGTTATGCAAAAGTCTGTGCTCCCCGCTTTAAGCCCATTCTACATTGGTCGTATCCAAAAGTGTTGCACTGGTGGGCGATAGTGCAATCTAGAGTCCTAGATATCAGAGAAGCGCAACCGATGTTCCGCGTTCTGATTAGCTGACTGTCAGCCAATCATGACATTCATTCAGTGGTATTAAAAATGGCTGACTAATAGACGATTGGTGGATTTCATATTTCGTCTGCAAACGACGCCATTTTTAATACTTTTCTTAGTAATTTTGCGATACTGACTTAAACCGGTTGCGCTTCTCTGATATCTAGGACTCTAGTGCAGCCAAGAGAAAACGTTATCTGCTTTAAGCCCATTCTACATTGGTCGTATCCAAAAGTGTTGCACTGGTGGGCGATAGTGCAGCCAAGAGAAAACGTTATTATATTTTTACATCGTGATTACTTCTATATTGTCACGTTCATATGTTCAGACTTCTTTGGAAAGACTTCGTCGTCTATAATTCCTGATTAGAATGAATTAAACATGATATAATTGATAATTTGATATAGTCAGACATTAACGAGAAGAGGAGGGAAGATGAAAAGTGTAAAACACTCAGCAACAACTGCTGCAAAAGATAAATCACAGTTGTTTTTTGTGGAATGTGATAATTGAAAATATAGAGAAGTTCGAAATGATCGAATCTTGCACGAAGAAGCGAATGTTGTTAGGTATTACATTTTTAGGAGGGTTAGTTTCTCATATTTTCCGCATCAAATGTACGTTCAGAAGCACTCTCGGAGTAGCCTCGGAGTAATGTATCATTTTATCTTTGTTCAACATTCGGTGAACAACAGATATAAAATACATGGAGGTACTCAGATAGTGCTTCTGAACATAGCCTAAACAGCAGATTGCTGTAGGTGCAGATTCTTTAAACAAAGCGTTTACGGAAGAACTTAATTTCTTGTATGACTACATTCCTTGCAGATTAACAGTTTTAGCGTTAATTATCGAGAGCCATTGGACAAACAGCTCAAGTAAACTTTATATTGATAATTACGAGAATAATTCCTCCTGTATCTCTGGCGAGGAATATGAAGTGATATCCGAATGCCATCCATGCACTGCCTTTGAAATTGCTAGTGAAAGCATTGATGTTTGTGTCCATGCGAGGTATAAAGAAGTGTTGAAATGCAAGAGTGGTGAAACAATAACAAGAAGGTAAAGCATCTGACAGAGAATCGAATGTGTATCTTGAATTATAAGAATTCAAAGAAGTATAAGAATTAAGAAAGTAAAATTAGAAAATAAGTGAATTTATAAAAATATTTATTAATTGGTCAACACTTAGTAAATTTTTTTACTTTTGTAATTTTCATCTTGTTTTGAAATACATAATTAACTACCAGGATTTGGATGTATTTGATTCTATATACTATGTCCTCATTTATGTTACAGTTGTGACAAAGTAGCTTGGCTAGAAGAAAAAACATTTTGGAAGTTTGAGGGTTTCATGTTTGCTGCAGCGATCTTCTCTTGTTTAGCTGTATATTGGAGAGAGAATATATTAAGACAGAGAATAATCAGAAAAGTAGCGAAACAATTACGAATTAGCGCATGAATGCTGTGAGTTGAGAATTAAGAGAGAATAGATAGAAAAGTTTTATATTTATATATTTTTCACTTGTACAAGAAAAAGATAAGGAGAAAGAAATGGAGGAAAAAATTGAGAATGAAATAGAGAAAGAAATGGATAGTGAAATATATTTAACGATATATTCTATGGCAGACTTGTGTCTTGTTCCAGTAGAAACTCTAATAACTTTTTTTACTATAAAATATTGTGACTCATCAGTTAATATTAAGCTAGTACCAAGTAAACAGAATTTAACTGAACAAGCTTACATGATTGATCTCACAGATTTTGTGTATGAGATTGTAAATGAAATACCTTACTATGCAAGCTCATTTGAATTACCAATTATCATTGTAAATGAAGACAGCTGCATGGCTGGTTTGTGTACAGTATTAAGATATATTGTAAAAAATATGAATTCATCTTTACTAAACAACAAAACTATGTTATTAGGCTTCAAGGATTCCTGTTTGATGGCTTGTTCTGAGGCAAGTGTATGGACTAAATTTTGCGAGATTGATTTAATTTCAACTCTGAAGTCTTTAGATTCGAAGGTTTTGGAGAACTCCGAATTGCCTGTTAATTTAGCCAGATTTGAATATCACATGTCTCAACCACTTAAAATGCACAATTTATATAAATACATTACGAGCAAAAAGTTTGATGCTATTGATATAACTGAACGTGATAAGACAGGTATGCCGATACATAAGTATGCGGATAGTGGACATATTACATTAGCTGACTTAATTATATTTGTGTGTATGCATATTCTACTGAATATGTTTCCAAGTCAGATATCAAAGCTGATACCCTTAACAGTTCAATGGTATGACAGAATGTTGGATGATTTTCGTATACAAAGCTGCATAAAATATTTACCTTCGAAAAGCCATAATTCAAATGTACAGTATACACTTCCAGTTGTAGTAAATGAAAGCTTATACAAGAGTGATTATAAACGATACAAACCAAAAAATCGCATTTTCACAAGGCAAGAGGATATAGAACGTTCATTGCAGTTGATCGAAAACATGAAAATTTCAATGCAACTTGATGTTAAACCATTTGGTATAGAAGTAAACTTCAACTGGTCTGACATTCCTTTTGAGGCCACACCAGCAGGCGGTTCATTGCCATCTGCAAGACTTCGACGGAAACAAGACCAACTGCAGAATCTGTGCAAACCTGTTTTGAAGCTTGCAAAGGCAGGGGATATTATTGTAGATTTTTGTTCGGGTACTGGCCATTTAGGAATATTGATAGCATACTTGCTACCTCGTTGCACAGTTATTCTACTGGAAAATAAAGAAGAGTCATTGAATCGAGCCAAAGAGAGGGTAAAAAGAATGAAGTTAACAAACATAAAGTTTTCTCAGTGTAACTTGAATTATTTCAAGGGAGATTTTGACATTGGTACGTCGTTACATGCTTGTGGCTTATCAACAGACTTGGTAATTCAATGTTGTATACGAAAGAACGCGATTTTCGTGAGTTGCCCTTGCTGTTATGGCTCACTGCAAAATTGTCATCAGCTAACGTATCCGCGAAGTGATGTTTTTAAGAAACATATTAATAATAAAGAATACTCATACCTCAGTCATGCAGCAGATCAAACACATGATGAACTAAATATTAAGACTAAACAAGGTTACAAATGTATGACAATTGTAGATACGGACAGAAAACTATTTGCCGAACAATTTGGGTACAAAGTTTATTTCGCTAAATTATTTCCAGAAACGAGTTCACTTAAGAATCACTTGTTAGTTGGTATACCAAAAGATAAGTTAACACATAGTAATTCATGTGACAATTGAATTTGTTCACTGTAGGACTTTTGTAAATAAATAGCATTTATGTTGAGAACATTAATTAATTATGTCAGTAATTTTCTTACATTAATATGTAAACATTTTTAATTAATTTTTTTAATGATAAGGAGTCTTATAATATTTAATTATAAGAGTTTTATCAATATTTTTTATTATAATATCAAGACTATTATATATAAAATATTTATTTTATATGTAATGTATGTTTATAATTAATTTTAAAACTAATAAAAATTGATTGAAGGGGAAATTTTTCAAACTTTTTATTTTAATATTTATATTATATTATGAAAGAAATAGTTTTTGCTATTATAACAAAATAATGTACTTTTATAATATATATTATATAGGAGACATTATATAAATGTTTATTGCATTAATTCTGATATGCATTGTGTATATATTATGTATATATATATGTATATCTTCGTTCTGTCTACATGTATCAGAATAATAGACTTTATTCTTAACATATTTACATATGTATATGGTCAATGAAAAAAACTAATAAATAAACATATTTATTTTATCTTTCCATAATAATATTTCCTTATATAAATAATATGTATCATTTCATATTTCTTTTCTCAAATATTTCGAATGTTATTCACGAATTGTATACGAATCGGATGCTAGAATGTTTGCAATATTATTGCAATTTTTGTTGCAATATTCTATTATACAATAGCTGCGTTCAGCAGACTCAACAGGGGGTCTATTCTTGAAAAGAAACTTATACGAAAAATTAGGAAAATACTATAGCATACGTAACATATACTATAGTATTTCCCTAGACTTTCGTATACGTTTCTTTTCAAGAATAGAGCCCCAGTTTTTCAACCGTTTTATGATTCGTCTCGCTGATTGGATTATACTTTCAGATCTAAAGAAATAGTCCTATCTCAGCAAAGAATTATAAGACAGTTGTAAAACTGTTGAGTCTGCTGAACGCAACCATTATTACTAGAATCCGTGCTGTATGTACAGAACGACATATTGAAAATACTGTTAATTTTCTAAATATTTAATAATAATTAATTATACTATTATATTTTATAATATTTAGTCAACATTTAGAAAAGTAAAATTATAGTACTGAAAAGACAATATAATTAATAACTTATTTTAAATATATATATTAAAATATTGTTCAATATTTTTAGTATTCCAAGTATGTAATTAATTACATTTTTCAATAATATATTGATTAATATTAGATTTGTGCTAAAACTCGATACTGTAGATTCAAGAATGTGTAGCCAATCAAGATATAGTTTTTACGGGAAACCGATAAAATTGATTGGCTACGTTTCTCGTTCCAAGAATTTGGACCGAGTTCTAACGCCGTGGATACGGGGTCGATCTGGGGATCGATTCTGTATCTCGAAACAAAGTGAAAATTACAAAAGTGAGCAAATTTACTAGGTATTGACCAATGAAATTAGAAATGTTCTAGTATATTCGCTCACTTTTGCAATTTTCACCTTGTTTCAAGATACAGAATCGATCCCCTGTAATTCAAGTGAGATCACTCACTTTTCGCACTTTCATCTCACAGGAGTTTGTTCGCGTGATTCTGTAATAACGAAGTGAAAATACGAAATCACTAAATTTATCAGTGTCGGGGAAACATGAAAATGTGAAATAGTGAAGTAATTTTCTCTTATTTTGATCCAATCGATGCTAATCGATGCAAAGAGCACTTCTGAATAATAATAATAATATAAAAAATAATAATAATATATATAATAATAATAATAATAAGGTTTCTCTCTGTTTTGTGCGACCCAAACTATTGGGGGAAATTTTAGGGGATTTGCTTCTTAGCTGTTAGGGATTTTTGGAAGATTCTAAGATATGTTTTAGGGGACATCTTTCAAAATCATTTGGCAATACTGTATTACTGTATCATTAATCATTATACACAAGAGACGCACGTGGTTTATGTATGTAGATATAGAATAGAAAGTTTTTTTAATTTACAACATATATTATTCCGTTAATTCGATGTCGTTTTTTATAAGAAGTGGTAACCGAGGAGATGGTACACAGAAACGTAAAGTAAGTTTTTTTTATTTAATTTTCTTTCCGAATTATGTTTTGTTCTCTACAGTTTAAAGGTTAAAATTCAGTTACGATTATTTTGATCTCCCCTGATTTTTGTTAGACGTTTGCATACTGCATCGAGTATTTGTTTAAAAAATTGTTAAAAGTTATAATATAACAAACATATCTAGTGTCGATGAATTCTCTAGAATTATCTAAAAGTAATAAATTTCACGTGACCTGACTACATATCATTTGGTCTATATTTTTCTTGTTTGTAAGCCAAGTGCATGATATTTCATGTTCACTTTTCGCATTCTAAAGTCAAAGCAAGTTATGTGTCAAACTGTGATTGAGCCGTGTAGAATCTTGAAACGATAATCAAGGAGACAATGGCTGAATAGGATCGTGTAGAACACATGTGTCCTAACAAGTGAGACGATCAATGTATGAGAGTTTTAAATTAAAGACAACACTAAAACACTGAGTCTCTTGATCACCTAGATCCTAAGACTATAAAGGGATATGTTATTCATATTTTTTTTCTTATATATAATTTAATGTATTAATATAATTATTAACTTTGTTAATTTCTAATTTTATTATGTTAGCTCAATGGCCACTTTAATAAGAAATCTACAATTCAGTCAAAATCAAAGAAATCAAAGAAGTCCAAACTTGATGATAATGAAAGTATTGCCAGTACGGATGAAGAGTTTGCAGAAGAAAATTTAGGGTAACTAAATTAAAGATATATTCAAAGAATATGTGATAATGAATAAGTATATAAGATTTTTAACAAATTATAAGAATAAACTTTGGACTAATGAGAGTCAAAATACAGTTGTTTATGCGTAATTATAAAAAAATTTTTAATATATCATAATTTTTATAACAAAGTACAGTATCCTATAAATATATTATATAAGTGTGATAAGTATATGGTATAGGATATACTTATCATGCTGAAGATGATTCAAAGCAGAGCTGAAACGTTCGTACTTTGTTGTTAAAATTAGGATATATTAAAAATTTTTTATAATTATATATATACACAAACAACTCCATTTTGACTCTTATTAGCCCAAAATTTATTTTTATAATAAGATTTTTACTTATAGAAATGAAGCACAGAGTGAAACTGAGGAAGAAGAGGAAACTGCACAAGAAAAACGTTTGAGGCTTGCAAAGAAATATCTTCAAGAAATTGAAGAAGAAGGTACAAAATAAAATATTTTTACATTTAATGTATGTTATTTTGAAAAGAGAGTAAAACGGTTTTATTATGTAATAAATTAATCTTTGATATTACAGAAAAAGATAGAGCAGAATTTGAAGAAGGTGCGGTTGCGCAGAGATTACGTGAAGAATATTTAGAGGAAAAAGGTCGATTAAAAAAAACTATAGCGATTAATTATGTTGGCCACAATGAACTTATAACATTGAGGTGTAAAGAACATAAATCGTCCATTACCTGTATTTGCCTTTCAAGTGATGGCAATATATTATATTCAGGATCTAAGGATGGTAGTTTAGTCAAATGTAAGTTTATAAATTTTAACTTTTTTTATGGCACTATGGTTCAAATCGGACTCAGGCCTCTTCTAAATGAGACGTCAAAATAATGATTCTTCTAGAATTAGGTTATTAGCCTAATGTTCAATCCTCTAATTTAGGAGATTGATGCATGTATCTATTAATGATATATGCAGTTTAACGCCCGATCCAGCACTAGTAATCAAGGTGTCTTAATTATCAGATGGAGCTTTTTGATGATTTCTTGAACTTTTGACTATATAGGGTGCCTGACAATTAATAAAAAAATTCACGTAGCAGCAGAGAATGGACTAAATAGAGTAAAAAAACTCCTCTATTTTGCAATTTTCATAATGGTTAACGAGTTATTAATATATGAAAATAATGAAATTTGCCTAGCTCAGCGGTAAGTTGAGCAAATTTTGTTATTTTTAAAAATTAATGACTTGTTAATTATTGCGAAAATTGCAAAATAGAGTTTTCTAGTACTTTTTTATTTGGTTTACAATAAGGATAAAATGATATTGGGTTCGACAGAATCAAATTTTGAAACATTGTAAGAACCTGGTCTGTTAATTACTCCATTCTTTCTATCTTTCTTGTAAGATAGACAAAGAGAATCTTATATCCAACATCTCACAGTTAAGTTTTGCCTTTAAGATCCAAATGGAATCTATCACGTGATCAGACAAGTAATTACGACACTTGCAATGAATAGCAGAACTGAGCAGAATGTTGCTGTCGTAGTTCTTGAGTCCTGGTGGTGATGGATAGTAGTGTGTCGATGATGTTGGATACACACTTCATTTCATATTAGCAGTCCAGGTTTCTGTAGTAATCAATTAATTTTCTTGTGGACTCTCCATATTTAAGCCAGGAATCCAGTGATAAAGGCCGATTGAGAATACAGCGTTGTTGTTACGCAAAGTAATAAAAAGTGAATTTCCTCAAATTACTAATTTATTCCAATATATTAATATAACAACTTCAAAACATTTCAACTCACTTTGGAATCTTCCTCAGCTAATATAAATTTAATACTCTTCCTTTGTATTTATTGTTCGAGTCACATCAGATTTTCAGATTTTATGTTGAAATCTTACCACAATACAAAGAAATTAATTGATCCAATGTTTCAAAACATTTTTTTTATGAGTCGAAACTGAGTTTGTTCTGAGTTTGTTATATTGATGGAATAAATTAGTAATTTGAGGAAATTCACTTCTTATTACTTTGCATAACAACAACATTTTATCCTCAATTGCCCTTCATCACTGGATTCTTGGTTTTAAACGCGAAAAAATAGTGTATATAGACACAAGTAGGATTGAACTCGGATCTACAGATTGCGAGTCAATCGCACTGAGCAGCGAGCCACTCGATGTCTGAAATTTTAGCTTTAAATGAATAATATGTAGATAAAGTTCTAAAAATAATAATTAAAATAATTATATATATCTATTGGTTAAATACTATTATTTATTGTAAACTATAAATTGACAATTGTTTACTAGGGTCAGTAAAGGATAAAAAGAAATTGAAAGCCATTAGAGGAAACAGAGGAAAGCAGAATCCTGGAATGAAATCTATACAATGTTTGGCGATTAGCACAGATGGAAGGTTTCTTGTGAGTTTAAGTGAAATTTTCTTTCATTTTATATAAAAATTTGAGATAAAAAACAAATCTTTTTCATCATAGGTAGTAGGAGAAAGTGGATGTAAAGACATAAAAGTGTTCTCTGGTGATACTATTAACCATATAAAGGATCTGAAAGGTCACAGAGGTTTAGTATCTGGATTAGTATTCCGTAAAAATACTCACACGTTATACTCTGCTTCCGAAGATAAGAGCGTGAAAGTTTGGAATCTAGACGATATGGCTTACGTTGAATCTTTGTAAGTAATTTTCGATAAATCTGATATGTGATATTTTTATGATATACGTTTTATATTTTGGTATATACAGAGAATAGATAATTTCTCCGGAGAATAGATAAAATGTACTACTTTTAATATAATAATAACAGATTGGCATATCATTTTTTGTCTCTGATACAGAGTTTATCCTTGTTGAAGTAGGCCTATATGCTTGAAGAGTGTCTGCTATTATGTAATGTTATATTATTTTTCTAGCAAAACATCTTTTAATTGTTTAAAAGAAATCTATTTTTACTTTGCTCTTTAACATTACAAATGATTCGATGATATTTAAATCAGATGCATTAGTCAAGAAAAATATTGATGTTTTCCAAAATATATATATATATATATATATATATATATATATATAT